AGATATCCCACTGAATGTTGGAAGTGTTTAACTTTTCATTTGTACAGGGGCTTACAGCTGAGTTTGCCTTAGATCTTGGAGGAGATTTGGAACTTAAACTTTTCAACAATGCTGAAACTGGTAGAACTTTGGCAACTCGTACAGATGGATTAAAATGCCTTTTGCCTAAAGAGATGTGCATGCGTCTTTGGGAACCTGTCCTGGGCAAAATGTCATGGTTATAGTGTAATACAATGTTCAAGTTGTAAAATGTTAATAAGCATGTCTAGGTACCTAGAAACTGGTTTAATGAAATGTCTGGTTGCCAAGTTGACAAGGGGTGGATTGTACTGATTGATACGTTGTGTCAATCTGAGAAGTTTAAAAGTTTAATTAAGTGATTCAGCAGAGAGCCAGAATTCTTAGTTTGTAAACATCCTCATCTTGTGCAAGAGGAGGGAATGGACATTGCCAGGGTAGCTTGTTTAATATGAGGAGGGGAGAGAGGTGGGCTTGAAGTCTCTGCCAGGTGCCACTGGGAGCCAGCCAAGTATAGACTGAAACCTGCATAAACTGTGAGCCAAGTAATCCTTTCCTTCTTTAATTTTGGGTGTTGGGTATTTTGTCCCAGCAACTAGCAAAAAGTAACTGACAGTTCTGTTCCACACAATGACTTTATTTCTTGAGGTAGTGTCTTGCATTGTAGCCCAGGGTGGCCTGGGTGTGTGCCATGCACATGACAGTTTGTGCAGAAACCATCTACCTTCTGATCTAAGTGTTTCTTAATCTAAAGTTGAATTTATATTACCCTAGATAAAGAGAAAATAAGGTTAAATGGGTTTCCCACTTCAGGAGTGAATGTTTGTTTAATTCCATTCATAGATTGTGTTTTGTGCTTAATTATAATTTTTTGCACTTTACATTTACTCAGGTTTAGTGGTATATAAGAAAGTTGTTTTTAGGCTGCTTTATAACCTCTCTTAGGCTATATAAGTACCTTGTAAAATTTGACTTAACATTTAAAAGGAGCCAAGTAAAGAGACAAGAATGAAATACTAAGTAACTTGCATCTACATGCTTTCACCAACAGTGGTTTTTAAAAATCCAAATTTAAGACAGTAGTTTTTCAGATGATTCTCTGTGAAGGAAATAAAAGAACAGGTTGGGTTGTTGAATGATTTCTATTGAGTAAGAAATACTTTAGTAAATAAGATAAATTATGAAGACCTTCATGTTTGTTTTCTGTGCATATAATAAACTTGACAGTTTATGTTTTGTACAACTTACTGCTGTTATAGCATTGATACTGTTTTTATTGCTGTCGAGTGATGAATGAAACATACGCATTTATGACTTTCTTGGATGCTAGTGACTGAACTAGTTATGTGGCACCCACTAGATTTTGCTCATTTGTTTTCCTTGTGAGTCCTCTGAAAAAAATCTTGATAATTAGCTTTATGACCAGGAAATAGAAATATACATGGACATTATTTTGCATAGCATATGTAGAATGTTTATGAGCCTCTAATTTTATAGGATTTTACTTTTGTCAAAATAGTTTAAATGGAAATTTATAAAGCAATATGTGTTTTGAGTTTTATAGCATGGTTCACATTAGGCTGTAAACTACCACTTTGTATTGTAGCCTTATGAGTGCTGTTATTCCTAAAGTTACAAAATCAGACACAAGCACAAATACCAGATGGGTTCTCAAATAGAAGGTGAATAATATGAAATAGGGGTGATAGATGCTTTGTAAATGGGAAAGATAGCTAGAGATGGAAAAGGAAGGGGCTAGTAAAATATATGTGTGTGTATACATGCGTACATATATGTATATATGTATTTTAATAAACCTAAATTTAAAAAAAATGCTTCCATTTACTAATTTTGAACCCATATGATGTTTTTGTTAACGTTTAAGCTATTATCAGTGCTGATGTACTATTATTTTATGTGCCCTTGAGGGAGAAGGAAACCTAAATAGGAAGTCTTAAGTCTACAGCAAATGCTGAAATATCTAAAGGCTGTACTCTCCATGTGAAACAAGAAGGTATGCCTACCAAGCAAACAAGGACAAAAAGTAATTTGAGTACACCAACTTTGGTTATCGGGAAGAAGAGGATTTAAACTATAAGCCAGTTCTTACTGTGAGCTTATAACCTAGATTCCCACTGATACTTTTTTGTTTTGTTTTGTTTTGTTTTGTTTTTTTGGTGGAACTGGGGATTGAACTTCCCTTGCACTTGCCAGGGAAGCACTTATTCCACTGAGCCATCTCCCCGACCCCCCCCTTTTTTTTTTTTTTTTTTGATTCCCACTGATACTGTGATGTTGAAATAATAGGTAACTTTCAGAATCTTAAGGATGTTAGATTGTTGCTGTTGCATTTGTCAGGTGACTGGTATAAGTCAACAGAAGTCCTCTGAGAGACTTCCACTTTAAAGAAAACGATTGTAAGTGTACATCTATGTTTTGTGTATGCTAAAATTAATAAAAGGGATCATTACAGCAGTTCACCAAGTAAATTTTTCAGATTTTGGAAAACCACTTTCTGTGACCTCTATAGACAATCTAAATTTGTCTTTTATTTGTGTAATTTTTACATGAGATATATTTTGTATGTTGAAGTTTTTGTAACATCACATTTTTAATTAAACGTTGTATCAATGAACTGTTTGCTTTTAGACTATTCAGTAGTACATCATTACTGCAGTTCAGGCACGTAGTGATCCTCCTGCCTCAGCCTCCACAGCACTGGGATTACAGGCTGCGCCACTATGCCTGGTTTTGGGGCTGGCATGGTCCAGCACATGTGGAACCAGGGATTAAACTAGGGACCTTGCACTTGCGGGGGGTGGGAGGGGAGCGCATTTAGACCACTGAGCTATTTCCCCAGCCCTTGGCTTGGTTTTTTAAAATGAAATTTGATCTTTTATAAGTTTCCACTAGAATTTACATTCTTCTGTTCATTGTACTGCTACCATGTTGCATCATGGAGGGTTGCTTTGTTTTTATTTTATTTTATTTTTTTTTTACCCTGTTTCAAATGTCTTTTCATTCTTTGGAGGAAAATTACTCTTCTTTTTTTTTTTTTTTTCCCCCTTAGATTTTAAAGCTCTGATTTAGCTTAGAATTCTACTTTTGGAAATGGTACTTTTGATTTTAAATGGAAAGCACTGTGAATTAGGTGATTTCTGTTGTCTCTGCTGCCCAACATGCTTCTGTATTGCTTTCCCCATTTAACTAACCCAGATTCCTTTTACTTTGCATTAGTCACGTGCATAATTATGAGAATTTATTTGTTTGGGCGATAAATGGGCTAATGATGGCGAACCTGTGACATTTGTGCCGCAGCTGGCTGTCAATGTCATTGAAAGCTGTCAAAGGTTTGCCATCGCTGGGCTAGGAGCAGGCCTGATTCTTCCTCATTTGATGTATTCACCAACCGCCAACCCCCACCCCAGGTATATATTATTTCTCTAGTCAGTCAGTTTTTGGTTTGTTTGGTTGGTTTTGTGGTACTGGGGATTGAACTCAGGACCCGGAGCTTGCCACACAAGTGCTTATTCTACTGAACTATCTCCCCAGGCCCTCTCTAGTCCTTGGGAAGCTTGTCAGTGCTAAATCCTATGTCATAAGTGCTAAATTTACTAGTATGCGTTTCTTGGGTGGGGTGGTGTCATAAATTCTATCAAATAGGTGCTTAATGTTTAGTTTTAATGTGAAACTTGAATAACTAGTTGCCTTGTTCTAATACCTTTTGTGATTATGGGTAATTTTTGTCCCCTTCCGGGTTTCCTTAGGTCCTTTTGTGTTCATATTAAAGTCCAAATTGGCTGGGGAGACAGCTCAGCAGTCTAAGCACCTGCCTGGCAATCGCAAGGACCCAGATTTGATCCCTGGTTCTGCATTCCTTGTCACTGAAACCAGGTGTGGTCGTGCACACCTGTAATCCCAGCACTGGGGAGGCTGAGACAGGAGAATCACTAGGAGTCTAAGCTGTGTAGCAAGACCCTGTACCAAATAAATAAATAAATGATTAAACTTTTTTTTAAAAAGTCAAAGTTATAACGTGGAATTAAGCTAATGTCATTAAACATTAGGAGGGCCAGGGACATAGCTCAGTAGAGTAAGTGGCAAGGGCCTGAGTTCAATCCCTGGTTCTGCCCCCCAAAAAAAACAGCAAAAAAAAAAATTAAGCATTAGGTTGTATCCTTTAGAACCTGTACTCATTTTCATGACTTTAATTCTTAACGTAGAGAAAGTTAATTTGTAGATTTGAATGGTAGTCATTTGTAAACTAGATTGAACTCTAAAATACAGTAATGCCTTCGTTCACAAATGCTTTGTTTGGGTATGATTTGGTTCACAAATAAAAGTATTTGGCAAAATTTGTTTTTTTGTTGCAAACTGTTATATCCAGAGACAAATACAACCAAACATCTTTCCCTGCACAAAGACCTTTTCCAAAATTTGGGAACAGATTTCATGAACTAAGGTCCCATTGTATCTTTAGGAGTTTATGTGTGTTCTGTGCTGTAAGTTTCCTGTATAAGAGACTTATTATTAACAAGTTTGTTTTCTTAGTATTTTTAAGTCACCTGTTTACATTTTAAGCACTTTTGATCTAAGATTAAAAAGAACCAGATTATTCATACATTTTATTCAATATAGGTAATAAAATGCAAAGGAAAAATTTTTGAAAAACTTGTAGATTTTTTTCCTCTAAACATGGAGAAAAACCTGGATGTTCACTTAAAACTAAAATGAAATTATTCTTGTTTAGGCTAAGCATAACATAATAGTTTGTACTTTTTATATTTACTTAAGAGTAATTTTCTCTATAAATATATAGCATGAGCATTAAATCATTGATGGAGTACTTCATTCAACAAGCACTTACTAAGAATACTATCCATATGATATAGTTTCAATGGATTTAAGTAAAATATACAATATTAAAAGTCACAGTAAATGTTCTGGTCTTAAATAGTAACCTTTTTTTACTTCTGTTTTAGATGCCTGGAATGATGTCCTCAGTAATGCCTGGAATGATGATGTCTCATATGTCTCAGGCTTCCATGCAACCTGCCTTACCGGTAATCTTGTGAAAACAGCCATTTTCTATGATTTTTTTTTCGGTTGATTACGTTTATCTATATAGTGATATGTGAACTTTATAACAATCATGTTAGCCTTATAAATGGCTCTGGAGAATTGTAATGCAGTATGGGATTTAACACTGGGCTTTTTGGTTTTAGTTTGTGTAAATTAAAATGATTAGTTTTTACATTTTCCCCAGTATTGAAGAGTAAATGTTTACTTTAATGAGTGCTACTTAAAAATTGACAAATGCAGTTTAATACTAGATTTAAAAATCAAAGGATTTGATTTGCCATCCAAATTTCATTTAGATCTCAGCTGTGGCAAATTACTTAGAAACTATTTGAATAGACTTACTGCCCCAATTAGGTAGCAGTATATTGTTAGTACCATATATTATACAAATTAATACAATCTTCAAATTAGTTTAATTTCTTTATTTCCTGATAACCTGGTGGTGGTATTGAATGGGTATGACATTTTCTAGGGTGATTTTGCAATGTTTTATACAAAACCCTTAAGACCATATATATTAAAATTCAAATGCTGGAAAGTAACATTTGCAATATTATATATTATATAAAAATTTCTTCTGGGACCTGAAACAGTGCATTGCAATTTCTAACAATATTTAGAAATTGTATTTTTTTTTTTTTGCGAAACCAGGGATTGAACTCAGACCCTTGCGCTTGACAGGGAAGCGCTTATTCCACTGAGCCATCTCCCCGGCCCAGAAATTGTATTCTTAAATATAATATAAATATAAAAATATCCTTAATTCTGTAGTAAAATTTGCAGATATTCACTCTGAGGTAAGATAAAATGTTATAGTTTGATTTCATTCATGACAGGTTTTGCTACAATAATGAGCTTTGTTGCCATACAAAACTTGATGTGCAGAGCTTTGTGGGTTTCAGAATTCTGAATAAAAATCTCATGGATCTGTGCATATCTGATGTCCACGTAATGAGTCAGAGTACTTAACTAACCCCAGGTTGCTGATCTTTTACAATTTATGGCAAGCTCAGAGAGTGAACTAAAACTTTGAAAGAGTTTTTGAATCAGTAGCTTGAGCATTGTATGCAGAAGGAAGGGACTGATTTTCTATGTTTTGTTAGTAATACACAGGAGCAGGGAGATAGCTCAGAGGCATAAGTTCCTGCCTGGCAAGTACAAGGTCCTGAGCTGGATCCCTGGTACCAAAAATAAAAAAAAAAAAAAAAAAAAAAAAAAAATAGCGAGAAAAGAAAAAAATGTAAGAATGTAGTTAAAATGAGATAACAATTTCATCTTTCTTCTTACAGCCAGGAGTAAATAGTATGGATGCAGCAGCAGGTATGTATAACTATTTTGATAGATTTCATTTGGAGAGATATAGCTATATTGTAATGAGGGATAAAAGCAGTGTTTTTTGGATTTTATGATCAGCTCCTCATGTCTTTTTTTTTTTTCTTCAGTAGGAAACAGGAATAAGCATTTATAGTTGAATTCTTAAGATTTAAGCAGGTTCTGAACCAAATTTATTGTGTAAAGAGTTTTTGAATGCCAGAATGGTTTTAAATTTTGTAATTATTGCATACCTCTAGTAAAGTCTAGATTTTACTTTTAAAAAGGCAAGTTATGTTGAAATATCAGATTATTTGGATTTCAGTATTTTAACATCGACATGGTATATGTTTATCGATATAGTAGGTGCTCAGAAAATATCTGAATGAATGAAGTCGGCTTCTGTATCTTACTCAGCAGACATGGGAGTCGGGGAGTGCCTTGAGCTCCTGATTCTTTCTTCTGAGCCTGCTGATCTTCATTGTTATTTTATGTTATCTCATGACCCTTGTAGTTAGGGAATGTGTAAGCCTTGTGGATTTTTGTTTTTCTTGTGATCAATATCTAGTCATTTTGACTAGTGAGACTTTTATATATAATAGCAGTGCTTCAGTTATTCATGAATAAGAAGTTTCCCATATAAATTAAAATGTTAACTCCTGAACTTAAACCATGCCTGTCAAAACTTGTTTTAAATGTTACTTACTGGTTGAAGTAAGATGCATGTGTGCTTTTCTACAAATGGATCTTTTTAAGATAGTTCACAGATTTCATCTACACTGAAAGGATGTTCCAAAATATCAAATTAATTAGTTTATTTATTTATTTATATTTGCAGTACCAGGTGTCAAACTCAAGACTTTGTGCATGCCAGTCATGTACTTATGCTGCTGGTCTGTTTCTCCAGCTTAAATCTTTTTTATATATCTAGATCCTAAGTAGTATTACCTAAGTAATCCTGAAAAAGTACATTAAAACATATTTTTAATTACTTGCACAATTGTTTGGTTGTACTATGGATATCTGCAACAGGGTTTCTTCAGTGTTCTTTGTTTTACTTTATTATCTTTCTTTTCTTGTTACATAGTTTTAGCTCTGTCACAGTATCATAGCCAGTGAGGTTTATCCAAGGCATGATTATTGCTAATTGTTATGTATAATTTTAAATTAAGTAGTTCTAAGGTTAAAGATTATTTTTACTAATACGTTTCAAAATCCCTTATATCTAAAAGGGTTTTCTGCAGTAGTATAGAATAACCCCATTTAATAGAACTTTGTGCAGTGATGGGAATTTTCTGCATATTATTGAGTATTTGAAATGTGGCTAATATAGTTGCGGAACCAGTTTTTCTAAATTTTTTACTTAATCTCACTTTAAATTTTAATTTAAACAGGAAAATGTCTAAGCTAATAGCTGTTGTTTTTGTACAGCACAGGTGTAGAAATTGACATTGAGGTTCCCAGAAACCTGTTGCATAGGATTAGAGAGATCAGAGGCATTATTGTGTTTTTATGATGGATATAGTGAAGAGGACCTAGAAAAGACAGGCACCTGTCATAGCAAGAAGAAAAACTAAAGATACGTGCTTCTCAGTATGGCTCTGAGTGAATTTGGAGATTGAAAATGCAAGTTCTGAAAGTGCTTTGTGCTATACATGTTCATTTCCGGCAAAGAAAACCAAATACACAGTTCAGGTGGAAAAGTGCCACAATGTTAATAAGCACAAGGAGAAAAAACTTATATGAATTAATATTAAAATGTTAAAGTAGAGCATGATTTATCACTGTGTAAATATTTTATCTTTTTTGTCTTTTAGGTGCAGCATCTGGTGTAGTAAGTACTGTTTTAAGTTTTGTGATAGGTCTATTTCACTGTATTTAACCTACTACAGTGATCTTTATTTCTATTCTAAACATAATCCAAATTAACCCATAGTTTCAAATGCCAAAGGTGAATAATTGTACAAGAGAAATTGTGTCTTTGTGTTTGTGTGGCTGTCACAAAATACTGAGCCAGTTTGTTCACAAAGAAAAAATGTTTCTATAGGTTCAAATTTTAGAGACCCAGGATTAGAGTACTTTAATCTGTAAACATCTGGTAAGGACTACCTGGCTACTTCACAGTATGAAAATAGGCATTACGTAGGCAGAATATCAAAATAATTATTTATTTTTGCAGAATATCAAATTTATTTATTTTGCAGAATATCAAATTAATTAGTTTATTTATTTCAAGAACAGTATATGGTATGTGTAGAAGTGGTTAAGGGAGGGAAAAAGATGAAGCCAAGAAAGGTGGAATCACTGCATAACTCTTGAGTACCAATTTAGTTCCATGAGAGTAAGAACTCACTTCCTAGGAAAAAAACATTAATTCTCTTAAGGACCTCTTTGTTACCTATTAAAGGCACCCCTCCCAACATTGTCACATAGGGGACCATGCTTACTGAGGAGAAATCATATTTAAACCATATAGCAAATGGTAATCATAGGGTGTCATTGTATGAATTCATTGTATGAATCCCTCCTTTGAATTAGAAGGATTTTTTTCTAGGCCTTTGAATTAGAAAAAACAGTGCACGTAGATACACAATAAACTATTAATCTTGTAATTTTTAAGTATCACGTAAGGTATTTTTAAAGAAAAAGTTATTTAAAAAAAAAAAAGAAAAAGTTATTTACCTTTGTTCATAACTGTAAATCCAATGGGACTTTCTAGTACTGTCGCCCTTCTGTATCTTTGGGAGATTGGTTCTAGGACCCCCAATGGATATTAAAATCTTGATGTGAAAGTCCCTTATATAAAATGCTATATAGTATTTTGCATACAACTTACACATACTCTTAAATGTATCTTAAATCATCTCTAGATTACTTTGTCTCAGTTACTTTTCTCTTGTTGCTGGAACAAATACCTCACACTCAAAATGAAGGAAGAAAAAGTTTATTTAACTCACAGTTGCTGGAGGTTTCAGTTCATACTCAGCTGGCTCCAAGGCAGAGCAGCACATGGTTGAGAGCAACTGTTCATGGTGGTGGGAAAAAGGGCAGTGTCAGCAGCTCAGGCAGCTAACTAGCCTCTCTCCCCTTCTTGTAGTACAGATTACCTGCCCCAGGGCAGGTGTAACATCCACACTCACAGTAATCATTCACAAACTCAGGAAGCCATCCCATGACTGCATGAGGCTTTTAGGGGGACAGCTAGGCACAAATCATAACATACCTAATGTAGCATAATTGCTATATAATTAGTTTTCTAATATGTAGATTAGGGAATAATAATTTTAAAATGGTTCTACATGTTCAGTCCAGACGTTTTTTTTTAAGGTAGTCTTGTACCTTTTACAAATGCTTCTACGTGCAGTATTCTTTTAAACATGTTTGTTTTCCATGTTTTAGGGAAAAACAGTGTTAAGCTTTAGACCCCCACTAAAGATAGCTATTTTATTCTTGTTAGTATTAGCCTTAGGGATTTTAGTTTTTTACTCTCAAGAGCAATCAAAGAAAATG